GAACAAAACCTATTTTGACAGTAATTCTAATCTATTTATTATATAACTGCTCCTCTCTTAAAAGATATATTCACCTGTACAGATAGTTTCCTTTGTCTCTCCTTATTATGTTCCAAAATGTGAACTGAAACTTGTCCTGCGGAACAAAAAATAACAATAATGGAGAAATGTACAAACTTGGATAATTTACCCACTACGTAGAGAGAGGAAAGCCAAGATCACTGTAAGCCAAGATGCCTTTAAATAAAATGTAATAAACAGATCATGAACTTATATAATTCTGTTTGATGTAGCCAACATCAACGGAGCCTGCTGACTGCGTTTTTGGCCATTTTATATATAAGGTAATCTTTGTCATGTGAAGACATGACAGCACACAAATATGACTGGCATTTATAATGAACATGCTTGAATGGATCTTTGCTTAATGTCATTAGCCTATATATGCAAATTATGGCATCCTGCAGCAGCTGCTGTTAGGAGGGCTTGGCAACTGCGTGTGGTATAAGCCAGTCTTACAGATCAAATGGATGTATTTTCAAAGACTAAAACCAGATAGATAACTGAAGATAGATTAAAAATTGTACATCTTTGGGATGTATAAATCCAGATATCCTGGGTAGAACATTTCCACAAATACCAATATAACATTTTTTTCCACAGTTAGTCTGTAGCAATCATTTGCAACTGTGCTGGACCACAAGATCGCTATTTACCCACAACTTTAATAGAAAACACTATAGAAAACTTCATTTAGTGTCGTTTCATGCACCACATGAAACAGTAAGTGGCCTCACAAATATGATCCATTGGTCACAACTAGGAGATACTCTTTTAAAGACTCAGCACATCTTCTATTCTACCATAAGCACCTTGGAAATGCGACTTAACCTGCAATCTTTTAATATTTTGTCACCTGCAGATTTTGCACTGGAACTGGCCTTTCCAGTTCTACTGTTTCAGTTCACGTTTTGCACAAGTGGAAGTGAAAAAGAGCAGCACACCATGAATCATCTCGGCAAACAAATGCATCTGAGGCATAACTCACTGGGGAAAACCAGACACTTTAACATACTGAAGTGACTCAAAGGTTTAAAAAATATATATGTATTACGAGAGCCACAAAAAAGGTTACAGACAGAGCTCCACAAAGCCTGCACGGATACATTCCAACAATTCAAGGTGGCAGAACAGGTGAAATACAGACCATAAAAACAGTTCAACATTAACTTTCCAGACTGTCAGAGACAGCAACCTTGACCCAATCTTTACCACACAAAAAAAAAGTACTGAATATATATATATCTCTATATATATCTCTAGTCTGGACCACAGATACAGTCCAAAGAAAACCACACTGCAATTTCCACATTAGGCTTATAGGAGAACAGGCATCATCTGAGGAACGTCCATTATAACACCCATGAGGTGACTATCTTAGGCCAAGCTGACATAACATTATGCTTGGTTAGCAATTTTAGAACAGCAACACAACACAGTTCATTTGCTGCACATGGCTACTAACGCATAGCTCTGTGCAACCCTTAGAGCTGACTTCAACCAAACCAAGTGATTACATTTGTTTGGTTTTGTTTAATTTATAAAGAAAATGCAAATGTAAGATATTAGGGCAGTTCCTGCTATCAACTTTCTTAAAAGTTCAAGACTTGAAGACTTCTTTAACGTACTTGCTTACAGTCACATTTTGAGACTGTATTAACAATCTTCAGGAAAATATGCCACCCTGAGGCTTTTTCCCTTGTTCACTTCAGGTTATGTCTGCATCCAGTTTTGACATAGGTGGCCAAATGCTGCTTCTGTATCAGCGCAGTATTTGGCCCAGAGTTTCAAAGTCTTTGCTATTCAGACTTTCCTATGAGGTCAACAAACAAAGTAGTAAAAAAAGAAAATATTAAGGCTTCAAGTAAAAATATTTCCTCTCTCTCCCACCCATGTAGTAAGGTACATTTAATTTCATAATACTCAATACATTATACAGTTAAAGATACAGAGATCCAACTTTTCAAGGCAGATTGTACTACAATGAAAACCTGGAGATTTAATGGGAGTGTATGAACAGGGAACGAACGGCTAATAAAATGCAATATGCAATGAAAACTGATGCATAAACTAAAGAAAAACTATTGCTGTTTTTTAAATAAGTAATACAATCCACAGCTAAAAATAAAAACATGTTGAAAAGATTTAAGACTTCTGAAACATGAAATAAAATAAAGAAGCTACTTTACAAGATGTGTTATCTTGTGCTGGATTTTCATGGCTGATCCCCATCTACTGTAAATTAGCATCACTTAAATGAGCTTTGATGGAGCCACACCAATTTACACCAGCTGAAGATTTGGTCTGCAGTGTCTGTAAAAACTGAGACTATTTGGGCAGAACAACCGTAACGCTAATCTGTAAACTGCCTGAAGAACCACACTTTGACATGGGCTGGATTCTGCTCCAAAATTAGACTTAATAAATAGGTCCCCAGTCCCACAACAGAAGCTATGGAAGCAGACACTTACTTTTATGAGAAAATAGCTGCAGGTTCATTGCTTTGGATGGAAATGAGGCCGGATTTGCTGCATGCAATCTCCTGTTAACAGTTCTGCTCAGATTACTCTTTCAGAAGACTTGATTAATTTACTCCAGGCTATTTGCACTGAATTATATGCAAACCTCAAAAGAAAAAAAAAAAAAAAAAAAAAAAAAGACTTTGGTACCATTGTAAACCTATTAACAAGTCAAATGCCTCTCAACTGTGGGCAAAACTACTCACAAAACATATAATCCTTACATCTGAACTTGTGATGACATAGTGCATTCATTCTTTCCTCCCTTATCCCTTGTGAACTATGTCAAAATAACCCTGGATATTACTGCTTTATACACACAATACTGTGTTTAGTCTTACCGAGAAATTCTCTTATGAACTAACGTAGTTAAGTTCAAAGGCTCTTTGGCCCTTCAAGTTCCTCAGTAGCTTTTTTGTTTATAAATGCAGGAGAAAGAACGATCAAAGCAGAGCATCACTGGGATGCAAATCTCAAACGTTGCAAATTTTCAGCCTTGCTTGCATGAATTTCATGTACACATTCAAAGATACATGATAAAATGTGCCCTTGTCTAGCTCCCTAGCCCAAATTCAGTGTATCACACATCCTCTCTTTTTCGGGGCTTATATATGGCATACATGATACTTTAAAAACAAGTAAGTCTTGTGATACTCCACGCACCAGAGTGAATTCCAGTCCTTGAGGAAATACTGCATCTTCCTGAGGAGTTAACATCAGGGTAGAGTTGCAGATAAATAACAGTTAAAGGTGGAAGAAATCTATAAGGCCATCTGGTCTAGCCCCTTGCCCCTGCAGGTTCACCTCTTACAGAATTTTTTTTAATGAGTTGTCCAAATATAGTTTGACTGTCCTAAATAGTTAGCCTCCAATATTCTGCCTTGGAAGACTATTCCACTGCCCCTTCCCCTCCATCTTTTCTGCCCCCTTCTAAATGTAGACCACTGGTTATCAGTGACAACCCTTTGATTTACCTTTGGTTTTATATCTTTTAACTAACATGTTTGTAAAATTATGATACTCAATTTCCACTTCATTGCTTAGCCAGTGGCATGGGTTTAGCCCTTTAAATCTTCTCATCAGCCAACCTGTCCAGTCTTTTAATATATATTGCTCTGTCTGTACCTGATCCAGTTTGCCAACATCTTTCTGGCACCGGGGTGCCTCCAACTAAAGACAATATTCTGCATGCCAGTGAGCAAATCTGCATAGAAAGACTATTGCTTCTCTGCTCTGCAATGTCCTACCGTAGGCATTTAAAATATCATCAAGGCAATAAAATGCACACTGATTTCTAGCTCACTCTCTCGTAACTCTGGCCTATTGCAGCTGCACTGCTTTCCAGATTTGTCCCTACAGGCAACATAGAGCATTACACAGAGATGATCAACTTTCTTATGTTTTCTTCAACCTTCCTCTCCAAAAAAATGATGTGAAATGCAAGGGACATAATAAGCATGTATTGCAGCAGATGTCAAGACTTATCAAATCAAAAGATAAATTTTAAGCAGGCAAAACTGAGGTCAATATTTGTCTTCTGGAATAATCAATCTCAACATACATGAAAACAAGTAAGATGTTATCAACACATTCTGAATTGCTACCGTGTATCAGGAGAGCTCTCCATTACAGTCAAGGACTGAAAAGGATTCAATTACTTGAAACAAATATCCTGAAAAATTATGAATTTAGCTCTCTAGTCAAAACTATTCACCAGGAGAACCAGGTGGGAAGTCGAGGTTTCATATGCTGATTGGCTCAGTGATAATAATTTTTAGTGACTTTGGCAACAGTCTCTCAGGATATTCTTAATTGCACACATGATCTGGCTCATTCGCATTGGTCCAGATCTCAGTACTTTTGACTTCTGAGGTGGTAACTGAATGGGAAAGAAAAGGAGATATGGAATGGAGAAAAGAATAAAAAAATTTCCATTCATCCCAAAATTAGCTTTGCCAGAGTCCTCATATTTGTGACAAAAGTAATGCACCCCTTTCTTGTTTTTTATAGTAAAGTTGCCTTTAAATCCAACAAAGTAAATGTAGTTTTCTGGAGACAGGAAAAGGAACCTTCAGATGTTAAATAGATTTGATTGATATTATTTTAAAAAGTTGTTCCCCAGGGGAAAAAAAAACAAATGGAAAATCCTTTGTCTAACAGTACTGAAGACCAGAGGGAATGTGCTAATAATTAAGCAGACAGAAAATTTATATCCTTTAGATGTACAATTGGCTCAGTTACACACACTGTAGATTCAACAGATCATGATAACCTTGCTGCAGGATTACACAGATGGCACCAGGGCAAGGCAGTAAACCATGTTATTGCCTAAATCCAATGAGTAATAAGGAGGGTGCAGGGAAAACAGCTGTTAGCTGTTTAAAATATGTTCCCATCCAAACATTTCCTTTTTTATCTGCTTGGTCTTGTTTCCAAGTCAGAGAAGCCTTTAAAAACCAGACGGAGCAAGAGGTCAGAGTGGAAGATCCTTACTGGTGTTGCGGTCCTTTTCCACAAGAGACGAACACACGCACGCGCGCACACACACACACAAGATTTCACACACAGGGAGGTGAATGGCAGACAGTGAGAAGCTGTTGCTATCCTTTCTCCTGCTCCCATCTGAGACGAGGGAGCAGGGAGGCTGTTAAAGACGACATGGCATTTGTGGCCCAAGCGCCCCTGCCTTGCTCCTTCCCAGGAAGAGGAACCTGACCTGCAACGCCTGGGGGACACAGAGCAGTTCTCACACACACAGAGTGCCCAGCACAGGAAGCCTGCTTTCCATGTCGGTAGGAAAACAGCAGCTGGGGCTCAGACTCTTGCCGGACAGATCGCTGGCCAGAAGAACTGGGAAGGGGTGTGGGAAAAATGGAATGATCCTGGACGACTGTACTTTTTCACAGCACAACTGGTACACAACCGGTTTGTTGGACAGACACACGCACAATGGCTTTAGCACTCTCTTGCATGAAAGAAATCCGCTCTGTGGTTGTGGTGTTAGGTCATAGCCAGTTCCTGCCTATTGGTTCAGGAAGAGTCTGATGGACTGTACAATTCTATTCCCTCAAGAATAAGGCTGCAGCTGGCTTTTGGCCAAAAGAGAAAGATGAAAACAGAACAAACCCAAAACAAGAAAAGGAGAGTGGCCAGCTACTGCTGCTCCTTCTTTGTTGTTATTTGAGTCTTCACAGTGCTCCTAGCTTCATGGCTGGCTGAGTGGATGGCTCTTTGCTTTTAATTAATTTTATTTTACACTGAAATTTCATAGGTTGTTCCACCAACTCCAGACACCTTCTTAACGTTTGAGTGTCTAGCAGGGCTGACAGGCGTCCCCTGGGAACTTGATGTTGAACCCAACCTGGATATTCCTTTGGGCTGTCCATTTATTTTACTGTGAGGTGTCTTCAACTGCATGTCATCCCTGCATCAAAAGAAATATCGAAAGATATAACGTTAGTGACCAAAGTGTGATAGCAAAATGGCTTCATTCCGGATAAACAATTATCCCTGTTACCCCAACTCCAAGTGTTGCAAAATATTCAACCATGGGAGCAACCTAGTTGAAGGCAATATACTTGATGAAAAGCCACTCAAATGAGAGAATTCATTTAGTCATTAGGTTAATGGATCAGTCCCCAGTAATATTTGTTCATTGAATTACTTGCTTAAATGCTTTCTTGAACCAAACTAATTGCATAAGCATCTGTAGGATGCATGGAGGTTTAACTGTCACCACTGCTGACCTTCAGCCAAACTGTGTCTTATAATCAGAAATGAAATACTCAGAAAAAACACTTCCCAGTCAAATAACCAGTTAAACAAAATTATGTTGCTCGTCTCTGAAAGACATAAGAGAGGTGAAGTGTAAGACTTCTTTATGACAGAAGACACAATCTGAATCAAGTCAGGAAGCACTCTAGGATGCCTGTAATTAAAGACCATATTCCAGATGGACTCTTTAGAATAATTTCCTTTCTTATAACCTACTGCCAGGGAGCACAGACAACAGGCTTTCCTTAAAAGATCTTTTAAATCTAGGCCACTACACACTAAAGCTTAATGTGTCTTGTCCCCAAGACTCATAAAGTAATTAGATAAAAGCCTACCAAAGAACTGTTCTGGAAGTGCCAGCACAACCAGGGTCTACTGTATTCTCACATCTTACTCCTGCACAGTGGATGTCTGCTTGGGTTTGCCTCAGTCTGAAGTTTAAGATAGGCTCATGCCAGCAGCAGTGACTGTGGGCTCAAACACCTTCCAGAAGGGAAAACTTTCTGTCTGCTTGCAAACTGAGGCAGCCTGGGCTATTTCAGACCACCCTGACTTTTTCTGGAGGCCAGAGGGTTTGATGGATTAACTGTATTCAAAAGGCCGTTTCTTTCTTTACATGTGTCTGCAAAACAAAGCTACCCTGGACATTTACACAGCTCTTGATAGGCTCAGAATAGCTCCAAAACTAAAAGCACTTTTTATGTGGCAACCTGATCTAACAGCTGTACCCTGGAGCTGGAACAGCAGGTCCATCAGCTCACACCAGCCTGGCTTCTGCTACATGTTTAAGCCATGCTTACACTAGAGAATGGAGTCGAGGGTATCTGAACCAGCAAAGCACACATACATAAATATAAAAAAATACTATTGTGTGGTTTTGTAAAATGCTGCTGTATCCACAAACAGACAAAATACGCAAGGACCAAATACTACATTTGCCTCACTGAAGTATTATAAAAGCCCTAATTCAGTGCTAAAATTCTCCTGAAGAACACAGTCTGCCTCCTGATACAAGGCAGAAAGGAGCTGAGGAGTGTTCGGGGAAAGGGGAGAAGGAAAAGTCATTTGTAGTATTTGTATGATTCTATTCTATGATTCTACAGACAGGGCTCTGAGCGACCTGCTCTAGTTGAAGATCTCCCTGCTCGTTGCAGGGGGGTTGGACTAGATGACCTTTAAAGGTCCCTTCCAACCCAAACTATTCTATGATTCTATGACTGACAGAGAAAACATGCTAGATTTACAAAGCATAGAGTGCCTGTGGGAGGTTTATTTTATTAGGTAAAAACCTTCAACTTTATTAGGCTATTTATTTATTAATCTAGGTACGTAACTTGACTTCAGGAACTTCAGTAAAAAAAGATCCTTTGCCACAGTATCATATGTCTGCACCTTCCTTTAACATCTGATGGGATCTGTAGCTATTTTAATAGCTAGACCACTTTTGCCAGACACTGTTTTTCATTACTTCAAAGAGCTGAACTAAAGTGAATTTACAGGCCCTACATTTTAAACAAGCACAATGTAAAAGCAGTGGGACCGACAGGCTGACAGCATAACCAAGAACCAGACACTAAAAGGGAAATAGCGTTTCATATTAGCATCTTTCCTACAGCAACAGCTGACACATCCAGGTCTCAAACAGAGGGCAGAGAGGCAAAAGAGAGTCTACAGGTCTTCTTTCACAACAGACTCATTCCTTTAATACATATGAAGAGGAAAAAATGGCTGTCTACCTCCTGCAAATTAGATCCTCCACCAGTAGACAAATCATCTTAACTACAATTCACTTGAGAACACTGAGGAAAAACTTGCTGACACTAAACTTCAGGAGACCTGCAATAATGGTTCTCCCACATTTCAATAACTTTCACCAAAATGTTGGATAATACTGGAGTGAGACACATGGGACCTTAACCAGAGGACAGCATAGTGCAGTAAGTGCCAGATGCAAAGAAAACCTAGATATTTCTGATGAGCCCTCCAGGCCCCAACTTGGCTGAAATACTGCATCCTCAGCAGGATCATGTAGCTCTTTTCAGACTTTCCAAGCCCTACAGTATCCAGAAGGAAGAGAAAGAAAGATAAGCACATGCAGAAGCTGCAGCTGAGGATCTTGTTCAGACACCACTTAGGCTCTCAGCACACCAAATCCTCGCTCTCCCCATGCCTTCTCACAGAAAGGAAAGAGGCAGCAAGGTCTTAAGGTAATGCCAAGACGGTCTGTGCTTTTATCACCAGTTCTGTGCTGTGGGACACTCAACACAGCTAACTACACAGCTCTCTATGCCAAGCACAATTTCCAGGATGGGTCTTAGTCCCTGTTTCCCCTAGTGCAGGGTATGCTCGCACATGCTGTGATTCCAGCTTTGCCCCTGCATCCAAGCAATGGCTGGGTCCAGCCTCCCTTTAGGTGGTAAACTAAAACAGCACCACACTTTTGTGCGTAACAGGAGGGATAATCTGCCTCATATCTTGCAAATAATTATCCAATTCAGCTAAGACACTAAATCACTATGACTTTTACAACTTAATTGATCACCTGCGGTTCAAGTTACAGCAAAAGTGCAAACATTTTGTCATGATGAGGTTGCTATGAGGATGTTGCAGAATTGAAGAGCACCCACAAACCTCCCACCCACGCTGACCTACAGCAAACACATCATTTGGGTTGTGCCTCCAACAAAGCGCTCTGCACTTGCTTGCAAAGAGATTCATATTGCAAAGCAGCACCTAAAGAAATACATACCTTTGTGCTCCCACAGATTGCACCTCTGTAATTTCCACAGTGTTTACAAATGAGACAGCCTTCGGGCCTCCATAAGAGGGTGACCTAGGCATCCCTGTGGGGGACGACGGGACCTGGTGGCCTGGGGATTTGTAGGAGCCATTGCTCACCCTGCCCTGTAGTGCTTGATGGGACTGGACATTATTATTCGCTAAATCAGCTTGCAGAGAGGTTGTGGAAGTCCTTGGTGCTCTTGTCATTGCACTTGAGAGTGAAGACACCGAGGACTGCAATATAGGGTTCCTTGTGCTAAAACTGGTAGCAGCCATCAGATTGTCTCTAGATCCGTATCTCATTGCCATGCTGCGTGGGTCTTCAGAGAGCGTGCTGACTTGCTGAAGGCTGTAAGAGCTAGGGGTGTCATAGACACCTGAGTCTGCAAACACTGAATCAGGGTGTGAGTGGAGGAGCTTCTCCCTCTCTTCCATCTCTTTCCTCTCCTGTATGGATGCCATAATGGTTTTGGAAAGATTATCATAGCGGACTGGGGAAGGGTCTCGCTGATGCGGAGCTGGACCCCCCAGCACTGGGCTGAAGCTCTGTGGTGGCTGGCGTTGCAGCTCACTCCCCCGTAGATGGCACATTTTGGCTGATAAATATGGGGAGTGGTACCCAACGGAGCTGACTGCAGAATGGGCAATGCACTTCCTCCCCGAGGGTGACATAGGGTTTAGCAAACTGTCATATGAAAGACTCCCATTTCTGTTTGACAGGGAATTGGGAGAAAAGATGCTTTTGTAAGGGGTGGAAGCTGCCCCTTCGGACTTTATTGGATGAAGGGGCACTTTGTCTGTCCCTCTCTTGCCAGCAGATTTCAGGCTCAGGGATCGTGAATTGATGGCAAAGGAATCTATCTGGAGTGGGGAAGACTGATAGGTCTTGTGGAGGGAGCTCTTCCGGTAGCTGGGGATGTCCAAGCTGGGTTCAGACTGGTAATCAAGGCTCCTGCCATCCTCTTCTATTAGAGCCCCTTGACTGTGTCCCTCCTGCATGGTGATCTAAAACAGAGGTGAATATGAGAAACATAAGCCAATGACATGTAAGTACAGGTTTGCTCTCCATGGTGAGTACATGGGAAGAAAAGAGCTGGAGGTCTTCTCTCAGACTCCCAGCCCAGCTATGACACAGGTTCATTTTAAGGCATCTCCTAACTCCTCTTCAGCATTTGCATCAGCATCTTAGAAGCACGGAGGAGTTATAATAAGTGCTAAATAATACTGACTTTAGTAGATATGTCAATACATGGACACTGAAAACACAGAATGAGACCTTCTAAACTGAGACTCAAGTCTTGGTAAAGGTAAATCAAACTGTAATCTGATAATACTGCCCTTGGAAAAAGCACTTCAAGTTTTCTACAAATAGCTCTTGAGTTGAGGGATGTCTGGTTTTGCATGCTGAGTCAGAAATACTTTAGGCTTCATTTCAACCCACTGGGGACCAGCACACTCTCATCCACTTTACTCAGAGCTATGAATAGTCAGTAATTCTGAATTTCTGGTCATAGGTCTTCAAAATTAAGCACCTAAGCTTAATTAAAGCAGAGAGGCTCCTTCCTAGCATTACAATTTTCTCTTTTTTATTGCCTGTTTAGGAGAGAGTGGCCATATCAGAGAAGGAAACATAGGCCATAATTTATTTATGTCCATTGAAAACAGATAGGACTTCATGTTGTTTTACTCTATGAAAGACTGCTTCCAGCTCTGTTCACTTTAAATGCCATTCTGCGCTAAGCAAATAATTTTTGCTTTTATTTTTAAGGGTTTGCCATAATGCACAATAAATTGGACATTGGCTCTGCAGACGAAGAATTATTATCAGTCACATATTTAATCAGAAATGCAGTCAATGCAGTTTGTTCTTTATCTAATTTCTTTTACAGGAAAATTATCCAAAAAAGCTTAACTGGCAAAAACACGGTTTATTCCAAATTTTTCTTCAACTTTTTTTCTTCGACATAGAAGATAGGGAAATATGCAAAACAGCTCACTATCTTCTAGAGCATGGTGCTACATTTGGCCTTCTCTGGAAAAAGGAGACCAAGTGACAGCCTGTGAAGGAGGATAAGAGAGCAATAACGTAGCTTATATTTGTGCTACTTATCCTTGTGCCCCGATTCCTCTTTCCTAACAGCTTTTACTGCTTAAATGCAAAATTACATTAACAGGCTGAAGAACTGATACAGAAGAGACACATGATATTCCTCACACCAGCTAGTCTCCTTCCCTCTGTACCTTATACTTAGCTATGGTTTGGCAGACAAATACATGCTATCCTATCAGCTTGCCAAGTGAACTAATTTTTATAATATTCCCACTTGACTACTAGAAAGTTGTGACTACTATAAAATTGAACAAGTCCACAAAACTAATTGCATGCACACACTGTTGTTGTATAGTAACAGCATTTTTTTAGGTTAGGATTGAAACAGCAACCCTCAGAGTGAAGATGCTGTACGCTGTTATCATTTCATAGCACTGCCCAGTCTCCTGGCCTAATCAGAACCTATCCTGTATCTATATTGCACCTATGGCTGCATACTGAATGAATAAAACAGGCTTGCCTTCCATGGTTCTCTGACTTCTGGCATCATGACCCAAAATACTGTTGCTTACACAGCTCAAAATTGCTAGCTGATGCCTGTAAACAGAATATTTTTAATTGGATGTCAAGCTATTTTTCATGTAATAACATGAAGATGATAGGATATTACACTTGTCAGATACAGTGAACACACTGTTGTTCTTACGTACCCTTTCATAAGCCAATCTTTTCTTCATTAAGTGGACAAATAAATACAGAGAATTACTGGTGGGAGATGTGGTGGCTGGAGGCCGTCTTGGGCTTAGCAACCATGACATGATAGAATTCTCAATTCTGAGTGAAGTAAGGAGAGGGGTCAGCAAAACTGCTACCATGGACTTACAGAGAGCAGACTTCATCCTGTTCAGGTCATTGATTGAGAGAGTCCCTTGGGAGACCAACCTGAAGGGCAAAAGGGTCCAGGAAGGCTGGACGGTCTTCAAGAAGAAAATCTTAAAGGCACAGGAGCAGGCGGTCCCCATGTGCCGTAAGACGAGCTGGCGGGGAAGACGACCGGCCTGGCTGAACAGGGAGCTTTTGCTGGGACTCCAAGAAGAGTACAAGGATCTCATTAGGTCATGCAGAGAGAAAATTAGAAAGGCAAAAGCCCAGAACTCACTCTGGCCACAGTCGTAAGGGATAACAAAAAATGTTTTTACAAATATATTAACAGCAAAAAGAGAGACAAGGAGAATTTCCATCCCTTATTGGATATGGGGGGGAACATTGTCACCAAGGATGAGGATAAGGCTGAGGTACATAATGCCTTCTTTGCCTCAGTCTTTAATAGCCAGTCCAGGTATCCGCAGGGTATTCAGTCCTCGGAGCTGGAAGACAGGGATGAAGAGCACAATAAACTCCTCATAATCCAGCAGGAAACAGTTAAGGACCTGCTATGCCACCTGGACCACAAGTCCATGGGGCCTGATGGGATCCACCCAAGAGTGGTGAGAGAGGGCTGGCGGAGGAGCTTGCCAAGACACCCTCCATCATTTGTCATCAGTCCTGGTTAACAGGGGAGGTCCCAGACGACTGGAGGCTTGCCAATGTGACGCCCATCTACAAGAAGGGCCGGAAGGAGGATCCCAGGAACTACAGGCCTGTCAGCCTGACCTTGGTACCGGGGAATATTATGGAGAGATTCATCCGGAGGACACTCCCAGGGCATGTGCAGGACAACCAAGAGATCAGGCCCAGCCAGCACAGGTTCATGAAAGGCAGGTCCTGCGTGACCAACCTGATCTCCTTCTATGACCAGGTGACCCGCCTGGTGGATGAGGGAAAGTCTGTGGACGTTGTCTACCTGGTAAAGCCTTTGACAGTGTCTCCCACAGCATTGTCCTGGAGAAACTGGCGCCTCGTGGCTTAGACAGGTTTGCTCTTCGTTGGGTAAAGAACTGGCTGGACGGTCGAACTCAAGAGAGTCATGGTGAACGGTGTTAAATCCAGCTGGCAGCTGGTCACAAGTGGTGTTCCCCAGGGCTCGGTTTTGGGGCCAGTCTTGTTTAATATCTTTATCGATGATCTGGATAAGGGGATCGATCCCTCCCTCGGTAAGTTTGCAGATGACACCAAG